TTTTTAATAAGTAGTAGTTTAAGGAGTACTTAAGCATTTTCTCAGTCTGGTAATTATATCATGCGATACACGGTTACCATGGCTATAAATCTTTCATTTTGCAATAGTATTTTTAAGTTTCATTTTCATTGAAAACATTTTTTAAACTTCTAAACCTTATGGCTACATTGTTTGAGTCAAGCTCTTGATAAAATCATCTTGAATGTTTCATTTATAGCACCTGGATGTGTAAATGAAATGAGTACTGTTATCGATAAGTGATATTTGTATTGATCTCGTTTTTCTTTTTTAGAATCTTCAGTAAATTTTTAGAAACAGCTAATTTTAGCGATGATAAACGAGAACAAAAGGAGTTACAGGTATGTTGTCCATACTTCGTTCTTAATTATTATTTAACATTTAATTAAGTAACCTTCCATGCAGATAGTTCGTTGTTTGCTTTACTCACTAATTAACTATCAATTATTTAGGTGTAATCAACATACATTCTTGATATTTCCCAACTGGTGGTACTGACCACTTCAGACCCTTGGATTATTTATGAAGAACGATCATTTAGTAGTATATATCATTATTAGGCATTGAAACAATGGATTTTGTAAACATTTGATTGGTATCAAAGTTCTAGTCACATTTATGAATGTTTTCTTCATTTTTTGGTATTCGAGTTTTAATCTTCGGGCTGATAAGTTTTTAAAATCAAATGAAAGTGATGAAGGCGCTATTTTACTCTTAATTTTTCCGATTAATTTCTTTATTTTCTTATTCAGGAATTATGTCATCGATTACTTGAAACGACAGCTTCTATTGCTGCATCTGCCTTGCATCAACCATCATGGTTTCGTAAAACTTTACAAGTTCGTCAACTCGATGGTGATTTGACCAATTCATTTACATATTCCCAACCTTTAAATTCTATCGATATAACTGATCGTATATCGCTTTCAGGATCGGATGTTTTTGAATCTATTAATAAATCTGATCGATTAGGAAATGGATCATCAGATTTAGCAAATTCACATTCTATTGGACAACTTAACAATGCAAGTGATGTATTGAATGATTTAGAGCAATCTTCTGTAAAAGATTTATATGATAAATCAATATCAATACCATGGCCTTCATCATGTTATTCGAAATCACGGCATTGTAAGATAGTAACATTATTTGTTCGTTTGTTTGTATTTAAGTATTGTTTTAATTATTCTAGATTAAATGAAACTGTGATAATAGACAAAACGGTATTCCGCATGTGTGAAATGTATAAAGAAAGAAGATAATCTCACATTTATCATCATTAGTGTTCTCGAATTAGTTGGTAGATGGGATGAACATCATTTAGAGTAACATTTTAGTTAATCTACAGAAGTTATTTGGTATTCAGGTTGAAACTGATTATTCGCTAGTTGATATTTCATTAGTTTAAGTTTTTGCTAGGTTTGAAGCGGTTACGAGTTCACTTAGACGGCGAACGGAACAAAGACTCGGTGACCAAAAACCGTCCTTGGGAAGAGTTACAAAATAGCATACTAAAAGACACAACGGACCAATAGCATTTAAGATTCTCCCAAATGGGAAATACGACATGAACTTTGAAAACAGCACCTTTGGCGCTAAAGCAAATAAGTCCAAATTTTCTAGATAAAATTACAAAATTAGGTCCTTTTCCAATAGACTTCTGAGGATATAACGTCCCCAACAGTTTTAGACTAATCTAAATCATCTGTAGTTCTTGTTTTCGTAGAAACAATGTTTGAAAACCTGTGCTTATGTGAGAGTAAACGTAATTCATTTCGACTAATATTGCTTCCAATGGGGCACGGTAGCCAATGATGAACCTGGAGAAATGAAGTTGGGCTTGTGTCAATCAAAAACACAGTTATTATAACTGATGCCCCACGCTACTTGAAGTAAGCTTTTTAGTTAACAGGTATTTCGGAAAATCCAAGAGTAAAATGTCGAATTCACGTGTTTTGCTGAGTGGTGAGATAATTTCAACCAAGAATAATCTCCACAGTCTCTAATTATATCCATTTTTGTTAAAATTAGACTGATGAAGATCAATTTCCACAGATATTGAAAACTTTACTGATTGAATTGTGTTCTTTATTACAAACACGACAGCACAACCTATGAGTATAGGATGCTTTTTAGTTTGAAAAGTTGGTTGCTTAATAATATGTCAATTAATTTTAATACGTGAAAGATTTCACAAGTTAAAAAGAAGAGTACATACATACACATGTACGTATGATACTTCTACCTATAATCCATACTCTAAACAAGCGATTCCAAGATATTGTTCTAAGATACATTTTTTAACAGTAACTTGTGTACAGTGATAGTGAACTGTTATAAATTGAACCGCTTAATATGAAATATAAGCATGTTCTGTTGTTTACGACTGAATGACATGTTTCAGTTTAACAGTCAACAAAATCAATGGATTCATTTAGTCTTGGCTTTTTCCTAAATATACCCTTAAATCAACCAGTATTGGGCGTCTGAGTATACGGTGACTACATCATGTATAGGTTTTATAGTCTTATCAATCAAATAATCTTTGCTATCTTGAACCCTACTTTTAAATCTGTCGTTGCTCACCACCTGATGCTTCCATTTTTTAGGAAGTAATTTATTGAAGACAACTTTTTTTTCAAATGTCACGTATTTTCAGCTTTAATGAAATGTTTTAAACAATAAGAGAAAATTGTGATCCCTATGTTCGTTACCATTTCCATCATCCATAGAATTCCTTCTGCACTGAAAAGAATCTGACACACATGACATTGATCACCATCACTCAGTGGTCAATCGATTGTAAATACATCTCAGTCCTACAGGAGGTCAGTCGCTGCCCGGATAGCCCAATGGTAACGTCTGTGACTGTGATACTGGGTGATATGGGTTCGAACCTGTTAGGGAGTGTCAGTTCCCTCAAGATTACAGGTACACCTTGCTGACGAGTGCCAAGTAGCACGAAACGTAGGTCCAAGGATTCCTGTTCACTACTTCGAACCACCAACTTATCTCAACATAGTGCACGCAATATCGAGTTAATTTGGCTAGTGGACACATTGCAACTTGGTCGTTGGGATTCGATGTGCACTGAGAAGGACCTGACACACATGACATTAATCACCACGCATTGTTTTACGCTATATCTGTCCATCGGTTGCATATCATACTGAACCCCAATCATTCAAAAAATATGATTGTTTATTAAAATCTCTCAACTTTCCGTAGTTTTACTCATCATTACACTAAAATTATTGTAAATTTTTCCACGTATTGTCGTCTATTTAATTTATCATTTGAGTCTTTTTTATGCATAAATATTTGTTTTTGTATGGTTTTCCCACAATATTAGCATCTGTGAATTTGTTGTCCAATGAAATAACACGTATCCGAATGCGTAGCGATGTGACAATACAAGCTATTGAGTTGTTAACAGAGGTATTATTTATTTGTTTATTTATTTAAATATATAAATATTGGTACAATAAGGCACTAAATAAATATGCACCACATAAATCATTCGGTTTGTGTGATGGCTGGGATACTACCTGGGTGCCCAAACCGAAGCTGGTGGTTTTCTTAGGGGGGGGCGCCTTTGACCTAAAGGTCTAATCCACAAGGTTTGGAGCAGCGTCAGTCTCATCGTAGCCAGTGACCAATAATTGGTTCATACGCTTATTGTTCCCTCACGATGTTGGAGCCCATGCATATCATTGGTTTGGTGTTGAGGTTTTCCAACTACCCTAGGTGAACTCTTCGTATCCACCAACCCGGTTAAAGCCGGTACCGTACATTCGGTTTTCATCCTCTCAATTTCGTGAAGAACACCCGTGGTGCGATAAGGCAGTGAGTCGGACTTCTCTGTTAACAGATGTAGTTTTGTTTGTGAAATAAGAAACCAATCTTAACCTGTTTTTGTTTTTCCATATCAATCCTATTTATTTTACTTTTATTCATCATCTATATAAATGCGTGTGTATGTGTGTGTAAGAGTAAGCAATTTTCAGAATCAGATGTTGTTGGTATTAGTTCCTGATTAAAGGATAACCGTCATACTGTCATACGAATGAAAAAATGGAGCTTTGTGAACAGTCGTTTTAGCAATGTTGTTTAGTTCAAGTCAATTGGTTTAATCATGTAACTTTGTAGTAAAGATCATTTTCATGAATATTGAAAGTAGTCTTCTTTGATTATAAAGAACGATAATGTGTACACTACGTCTATGAATAATCCACTGTAGAGAACTCAGCACGATTCCAATTCTTTTCTCAAGTCGCGTATCTTCACAATCACTTAACTGATTCTCTAGCTAATATGAGTTACGTGAAATAATTTAAGTTTTTCGGATATCTTTGTACAGATTTAAACTCATAAAAGAATGACGTGAATTCCTAATGACCTACAGTTTATTTCTCATTGTGAATTAACCTGTTACTGAGAAACTATTGGAGTATGAGAGACCACCAGATTGATTTTATTTCCAAAACATCTAAGCAAAAAACACCTACGATAACTGGACAATAAGTCAAACACAAAGTCGTCAGGTTTTTTTTTTTAAAACATATTCACATATTGACATTAACTTTCATAGTTTATAACTGGAACTCCGCCAATATGTCTTAGATTTGTCCAATATTTCGTTAAACAAGAATAACGAACATTGTAGGATGAACTCATTTCATTCCATTTACTCATTCATACACTCAGTGATTTGTACAAATCAATGAAGTCTTTTACAATTGTAATTCATTATTGTCGCTTCACAAAAGTTTATCAAGGAAACCAACTGCATGAAATCGTCCAGTATTGAACGATATACACTGTCGACTTTCATGTTCCTCGTTCCTGTTACTCAGTTAGGCAAAAGTAACTCTTAGAATCTAACAGATATTCACCGGTTCAGTATATAAATACAAGTTGTATAATATTGAACGCCCTCCATTGGTAGAAATTGAGTTCGAGTTATATACGATGAAAATCTCAGCCAGGTAATTACTATGGTAAGGGGGGACTGTTAGTGTTATCTTTTGAAGATATCTCTTAGTCATGTTCAGTTTTACTATTTTATGGTCTGATTTGAAATTTGCATCATTTCATGATTGCTTCTTTGTTTTGATTCTTTCCAACCTTTGTGGCGGGGGGTGGGGATTGGCGCACGTCGGTCTCTTTTAAAACTTACACAGAATATGGCTATATTTTTGGATTTAGTGTATAAAAGTGACGAAAAAGATCGTGTAACAACATTTTTAAACAATATTTTGTGCAATATTTTCCCTTATCTTCGTGTTCGGACGTAAGTTCATTTACATTCTATATACGATGTAATTATATCATTAATAAGAAGACTTGATTACTTTTATTGAACAAATTGATCGATTGGAAGTACTTTGGTAAATTAAGAGATTTATTGTTCTGATACTGTTTCAGTTTAATGTTTATGAAATTTAATTTCCATCATAATCTACACTATTATTCATAGGGAATACAAGTTATTGAATTTTACGCAGGATCCATTTAGGGGAGTTGGAAAACCCTGATTCCAAACCAATGGTGCACATGCGCTTCAGGATCCTGAAGGAAACAAATGGCGTATAAACCTATTGTTAGTCACCAGCTACCATAGGACTGCATCTCCTTACGTTGCTCTACTGCCTTGTTGACTAAACCTTTAGGTCAAATGCTCCGGTTGTGGCTCCCTAAGAAAACCACCTGATTCGGTTTGATCACCCGGTCCTCACACAAATCAAGTGATCTGTGTGGCGCATATGTATTTGGTGCCCCTTTGTATCAATATTTATATGTTCAAATAAATAAATAAATAATCAAAGATGACAACAGACTAGTCCACTAACTGTTATATACTTCATAAAGTGTGGTTCGACTCACATATAAAAGTTGTACTGTATGAGAACATCCGTATTCAGTATTATTCGGTTTCTATTTCAATAATTTCTCGTATAATCATTAAAAGTGAATTACTTGAAGTTCTAGATCCTGTATATATTTATTCAATACTTTTGTTCATAGGATTGTCATTTTTTTTCCATTATCTTCTATTCATCATTACCCTTCCAACATTATACTGGTAATATTTTCCTTCTATTTAAAAACCATTTCTTTTAGATTAAGTAATTCAGATCATTTTACTGTAGCCAGTAAATTAATTGCATCCATTAGTAGTTATCAATATACACGTAAATCATGGCGTCGTGATGTTTTGGATTTATTTTATGAATCAGTATTTTTTCAAATGAGTCCAATTGCTTTACAAAGTTGGAATTTAATCATTGATAATTTAATGACACAAGATAAAAGTACATTTAAAGAAGCATTAGGTATGTGAAGTTTATTTTTCTTTGGGTATATCCAAGATTTTCACACACGAATAAACACATCGAAAAGATTAATTCTAGTTCTAATACCGACTTCACCCATATTCTTTTGTTTAACATATCATCTGTTTTTCACATTTCAGATTTGTGTAGTAAGGACAGAAGGCCTACGGCCTATGTTATTCCTTTTCTAGTATGCTTCTGTGAGTGTCCAGTCTCCTCTTGAAAGTGTCAATTGAAGGTGCGGACACCACTGCTTCGGGCAGCACGTCCCAAGTATTGATGACTCGGTGTGAAAACCTATATGCCACGGGTATTTTGTTCGTTACCATTTTGAAGTCTCAGAATCATTTGTTATCAAAACAGCACTATATATTGATCGATTACAGAAAAGCTAATAATTTTCACTTCCTTTTGGAATGAAGAATTTTTTGTTAGAATACCTTGGAATACTCAGGCATCTTGAAATATGAAGTGCAGATACTTTTTGTAGAAAACTCATACTACTTACAAATATTAAGTAGTGTAGTCGTACCTTCATGATTTTCCTAAAGGGTACTTGGAATATTGTCACAAATTCATTCTATTCATCGCAATCAGAGTAGAATTGTTGTACGTTTGGATTTATAATTCATCTAATTTGTCTCTCTTCTATGTATATTCCCGTTGATAGCAATTAACATGTTATGAATATCTGTCTTCTATTAAAAATATTCTGGTAGTTAGAAATATATCAGTTTTTTAGAGTAATGAATCAACTAATGTTATACATAAATCTGTCATATTTCTTAAACTAAACTGTTTTTTTTCCTATATCACTAAATTTATGCGCAGAAAGATTTGATTTACGACTGATCGTTCACTGAGGAGTAATTATAAATATTTGTCTTATCCCTTAGTACTGATATAACTCTATCAGCTGAGTTTCAATGTGACTCGACGTCGAGTTCACTATAATGAGATATTAGATGGTTAAAGGTAGTCTGCAGAGAACAGTAAACCTAGTTTTTGTGCACTTTGGTACTTATCAGTAAGGTGTACCTGTCATCTCCAGTTGGTGCTCCTTGTTGGATTCGATACCGAGTTAATCGGCTTCACAGTCAATAACCAAAGGGACCAGACAAGCACGACATCGGTCACTATTCAGTGATCATTTAATTGCACATATCTCAATCCTACAGGAGATCATTCACGACACGCATAGCTCAATAGTGACGTCTCAGACTTTGAAACTACATGATGTGGTGTTAAATCTCCCGAGAGAGACCAGTTACTTCAAGATTGAAAGTATACCTCACTGATGCATTTTAAATAGCACGAGACCTGTCCAGGGTTTTTTTGTCGACAACATCTAGCCACTTAGCAGTGAACCAATTTTTTTGTCTATCAAGTAAAAAGTTATAATTTATGGACGAACCAGTTCGATTTGAGGTAATAGGTCTTGTATTTTAGTGTTAAATTCATTCACTGATCCTTACTCCACTTAATATTTATTTTATAACTGAAATAGCAAGTCGGTGAAGGATACAGTATCTATCTTTTCCGAATTTCCTTCCAGCCCGTCTTGTATTCGCTCAACCGGGTGGTTTAAATTTATTTACTAGTAAAGAGAGTGAATATGATCTACGTGCTGCCTGTTTGAAAAAATTATCTTATCTAGTATATGCAAGTGAACCGGATCAATATGCGAAAGCAATGCCTGATTTATTAGGTATGTGTATAGTTGTCAAAATGATTTGCCAGTGTTTTTCATTCATTTCCTTCGGCTGTTAATACTTGTGTTAACTAGCTAATTAATAAGGTAACCCTGAACAACTAACTACACTTCATCCTCTATGTCAGAATATTTTCTACTTATATCATTCATTATAAGCAAAGATGGATAATGGCTAGCAGTGGATGCAGGTACATCCAGCTCACGATTTCCAAACAGGACGAAACGCGCGTCCTGGATTCCACTACTAGCCACTATCCATCTCTGCTTATAATGATTGTAAATTAAGGCAATATCGAGGCATACGCACAGTATGTACATATGCCAATAAGAGACTGATCAATTTCAGTCCTAAAAATATCAATGGGAAGATTCAAGTGAAACAATACCAAGTGAATTAAATCATTCATTGTATTACTATTATTACACTGTCAGAATTACAACTATCAAATTAGTTCACTATTCTCTTCATTTCATTATTTTAGCAAAAATCACACCCTTATCTTTAATCATGCATGATGTGTCCTTGACCTTTTGACCTATATTTTGCAAGTCGGTCTGGTGTTCAGTTTATATTATCTATAAGCATGAAAAATTCCGTTTTAGCAAGATTCAATCTGGTTAGCGTTTTCTTTTTTAACAAGACTTGTTTCTACGGCATGGGGTTACCGACCCCATACGCAACCCGCCTGCTTTACCCGGGCTTGAGACCAGCAGTAACTCTAGAAGAGCTACAGGCGGAGTAATGACAATTACACTCAATGAATTATTCGTACTGTCCATAATGCATACAAACGAACTAACAAACTTTCTGATCACGTTAACTATTCCATATGAATACAGCCGTTGGGAAATAAATCAAGTTTTTACTTTTGAAATGTGAACACTATGTGATTAAGTATTCATAATCACTAGTACAATGCAAGATATCCATTTCAATATATTTGAAACTTATAGGATTAATAGACCATCATTTGTTTGTGTATTTCTGTTGAACATGACAACTTAGTCATCGGATTGTTATAATTTAATAGTCATGAGTCAATTGAAGCTAGACCACTATGGAAAAGCTGGAAGCACTAGACGACCGTTTCATCCTACTTTGGGACTCCTCAGCGGTGCGCATCCACGATCCTGCCTCGCGACATTTGAACCCAAAATCTATCGGTTTCGCGCGCGAATGCTTAACCTCTAAATCACTGAACCGGCCGGTATCCAATGTTGTTAATGTCTGACTTCAACTAATCCACAAGATTGAGCGACACATCCACCACTCGTAGGTCCTGGGTTCGAGTCTCGCAAGGCAGGATCTTGAATGTGCACTGCTGAAGAGTCCCACAGTAGGACGAAATGATCGTTCAATGTTTCCAGCTTTTCCATGGTGGTCTAGCCTCAAATGACTCATAATCTCAACTATTGAAATTACTATAATATCCACAAAGCCCCTTCTGATATTGTTATATAATAGTCAGCGATGATAAATTAGTCAGTTGTGTAGTGTAAATTACTGTCTGGAATATGAAGTTATTTTATTGTACATAAAGTTCACATTTCATTGTTTCTTTTTAAGAAAATCTGACTACAGTTTTGTTAAATAATGATTGGTCCAAAAAATCTACTTGGCGTCCTCAATACTTCTGTTTTCCAATGATAATTTGTACGGAAACCCCGTCAAAAGTGACTGCTACATTATTCATTGTATCAACTAGATAATTCATTTTTTTATAATCTATTGTTTGTCTGATCGTTCTATTATTTCCTTCTTTTTCTACAGAACGTCTTGCTGAATGTCTACGTTTAGGTCAAGGTATAATTCCAGTGGTTCATACTCAAGTGTTTTTATTTGCTCGTGTCTTAATATCTCGTATGTCAGCTATACAATTGAATTCTTTATGGCCTATAGTTGTACCAGAATTGGTTAGTTTAGTAAATTTGCTTTTGTTTTTCTGCCTAATTTTTTCTCGTTTTCATGAATGAATCTTTTCTTGAACTTCTTGACTCTTGTCAGTTAATGATTACTTACTTACTTACGCCTGTTACTCCTAATGGAGCATAGGCCGCCGACCAGCATTCTCCAACCCACTCCGTCCTGAGCCTTCTTCTTGTTCATTTTTCTCATGTCTATTTCTATTTACCGGCGTAGTGTGTTCTCATTTCCGCAGCAATTTGGAAGGCTCTTTCGGTGTCCCACATTGTACGAACATTCCATGTACCTAAATAAATGGCTGCTCTGGTTGTCAGAAGGGGCATCGACCTCGTAACTTCCGAAGGGACTCGGCTTTCATCTTGAGGCGTCATAGTTCTTTTAAATGAAGACCTTCTGACTCCCAGGTCAGAGTTTAAAAGGTTTTAATAATTTTTTCTGATTAGTGTTTTCTTAGCGAGTTAGTTTTCTACGGGATGATGTCGCTAACCCCATGGCCAACCGTCCTCCTTTATATGGCCTTGGGACCGACAGTAGCCCCCGGCGGGACTCCAGGCTGAGTTGTCAGTTAATGATGCTTGATTGTATATCTGTATACCTGTTGCCTATGATCATCTATCGTTATTGTTATTTTTTCATACTTAGCTAAGGTGACAGACTCCTCATAAATATTTTGACTTGTTTTCTTCTCATATGAAATGTATCTTTGTTTTTTTTTTTTAGTTAGTTGTATCTTTCTCTACGATTGTAAATTTCAGTAGCCAAAATATGACTAAAATTTATAACAAATTAAGAACTGATTACACAGTTTAGTCAGAACATCACCTATGGCGAAGACGAGATATCCGTCCGTGTACTGTGAGGCAGTTCGTTCTGTTTTACTTTACGGCTGCAAAATGTGGCCATTAAGACTCTAAGATACTCTTAAGTTACTGGTATTTGATCACAAATGTCTTAGAAATATTCCTCGTATCTGCTGGTAAGTATTAGTGAGGCTAGGAGCAGGGTATTAGGGCATGATAGTAAATCGATTGATGAGGTTGTAAATCCTCATAGACTGAGATGGTTGGGCCATGTGGTGTGTATGCCTGAACACCAATTACGACGACGCGCAATGCTGACTAGTGTTGGGAATGGTTAGAAGAAAGTTAGGCGTTGCCAAACCAAAACGTGGCATCAGTGCTTGAAGTCACTGGTAGATGCAGACTACTTGTTTGGGGTCCACGTGACTATCGTAACCCATGGCTGGAGACTCTTGGTGACATGGCTCAGAATCGATCACAATGGCGTCGGTGTATACACTCTCTGTCTTCCCTTAAATTGTGAGACTGAAATTTCTTTATATCTTTCTTCCTGTACTATATCCTCATATGCAATCTTTCTTTTATATATTACTATCATTGAAATAACTACTTCCATGAATTTTGTGTTCATCTTATTGTGCTAATGAGGTGTACCAACTTGGACCGATGCATATATGTGTCTGGTCCTATGTTGTAGCTGACTGACTTAATCAGAACCTATATTTGTCACATATGTATACATGATTTGTCTAGTAGGTAGGTAGATAGGTAGATAGATATCTTTAAAGAACCTAATCAGCTACTTACAAATTTAAATCACTGATATTTCGATGACAATTGTTATAAAATGATTTTGATTATGATATTCAAACTACATAAGGGAAGTACTTTATCCCCGTAATTAATATGTCTACAACAAGTCAAATGCCAAAAAGTTACCTTTATTTGTATAATACTATGTTTCCGTTTACACGTTGATCAGGCGACTAAATTACAAGGTGACTTGTATTTCATACGTTTTTATTCGAATTACTCAGCGATGTTGTATGTATCATACAACGTTCATATTGGATATTCTCAACATTATTTATTATCAGAAGGGGTTTTTTGTGGAGGAGTTCCACAGTAGGACAAAACAACTGTCCAGTGCTTCCAGGTTTTACATGGTAGTCTAGGTTTAATTGATTTATGATCTCAATGATTAAAATTATTCATTATGTTAAATAGATCATCTTATGTTCATACTTTAAGAGGCCCGACACAATATTTTCTTAGGAATTAGACAATGATCACTGATTTCTCTCAATTTAATCACTTTTCAATTGTTATAATGTTCTCTTTTATATTATAAATTATTTTCTTTAATTTATTGTATAGTTCCTCACATTCAAATCCCTGTCTCAAGCAATTCAAGAATGGTGAGTTCCCCTGTGAATTTATTCTTTAGTATGGAATGAACTATCTGATTGAAACGTATGTGCACATTTCATAGCTAATGGTTATCTATTTTATATACATATATGTCATTAAACCTTCCACAATTTCGCCATGACTTTCGGCTACAATGTTTTGTTAGAATTCGTTTACTTCCTTTCTAACTTATCGATCTATTCCATTCATCGGTTTATGAATGGTTTAACTCGACCATTTTGACCTTTCAAATGGAATCTATATTCATGTGTGTTCTATGAAATCAGTAGGTTATTTTAAATTGTGTGTTTGAAATGCGCATGCAGTGTATACTTGCCGAAAGGAAAAACTTATATCTGTCCCTCTCAAATGTCCACCTCTTGCATCTTTTCTTATTTTCCTCTTCAGCTGGAAGCTGACTTGTTCTCTGCCACAGTAGGTTGTTGCTGATGGTGTTCAGTCAACGACCAACGAGTACTGTGCGTAAACAACTATCCATAAATACATATACATTTTTGACGGTAGTTGTAGTAGTTTCCCAACCTTCAGTCCCGTACAATGGAACTGTCTTAACGTTTGTACTCAAAATTTCGACTTTCATGTCGACTGACAGTTCTCTCAAGTTCCGTATCTTTTTAACGGTAGGAATTCTACCCTTGATTTGCTAGTTCGCTTCTTCACATTTGAACCAGAGTAACCATTATAATAGTTACAAGGGACGTAATAATTTTTAGTCTAGTTGTTCCTTATCATCCTGGACATGTTTTCTCAATATTATCGTGATAATTTGAAATTGTCATTCGTTAACAAGTTCCGTCTCTTTTTTCTACACTTTTAGCGTTTCTAAAATTCAATCAAGGAAAGCCAAACCTGATGCCTCCACATCGTCGTCATCATCATCATCATCATTTCTGTCTACTACACAAATGAATTTGTATATTAGTGCTTGTAAATTGTTGGCTACCAGTTTATTATATCCAGAATATAGACTGCCACAATTTTCCTAGTAAGCAATAATGTATATTTAACGAATGTGATTCCTGAAATTTCTACAAAAAATAATAATGTTTTAGCGAATTGTGGGATTCAATCCATTGATACCCAAATCCATAGCAGAACAGTCCTAATAATGTATAACGTAGTGATACCGCCAATTAGAGAACAGTGGATTATCGACCGGACCAATGACGCATAAAACCCGTGCGAGCAGTCTGGAGTACTTATCGGTCCTCCTTACTGCCTAGCCCAGCCAGTTAAGTCTAGAACACCAATCTCAGCTTCCACGATATGAATCATGTATTTCAAACATATTGGGTTTATATACCAACCAGAAAAACCACATCGTACCATAAAATATGAAACAACATTTGTACAAGATTTAGCCAAAAGTGGCTGTGAATATGGGTAATTAGGCATAACTCAAGACTCGTAAATTGTATAATATTAGTCTATGGGTCAAAATAAAGCCTATAATAAGAGGAACACAAATATGCATAGTTTAGTTACTTAACAATTATACAATAAAAATATACGTATAGTATTAGTCCATAAATGGATCCCAAAAGTTACCATCCATTATTCACATCGGGAATATAACAGTTTTTTTTACCAGTGATACATGTAATCATCCTTGGCACAGTAGACATTGTACTGTGAATTTATTAGCTTATACATTTTAAGTAATATCATATAATCTTGATAATATTACACGTTTGAACATTTTAATATGTCCATCTTATTTTGTGAATGTTGTAACGGGTGGTTTGCAGGTTAGATGCGCAGCGTATTTATCGATCGACTCGGTGACACGTAAACACGTACGAACGGCCTAGAGTCCCGATTGGCCCTTCTTCGCTGTCTATCCCAGCCAGTTGAGTCCAGAACGCAAGTCTTAGCCTCTGATATATGAATCATTATACTTCAGACATACTCTATTTATATACCAAACAAACAAACCACATCGTACCATAAAATAGAAAATAACATTGTACAATATTGGCCAGTAGGAAAATGACACGTGAAATAAACATTGACCAATAAGAAAAATGATACCATCTCAAGTCCAAGGATAGCGTTAGACTTAACGGAATAATTTTTGGGATATTTTCCTGAATATCCCAACAGGGAAACACTCATTATCGGCATACATCAATACACATCATCATCATTATCCTCATCTTAAAGACACTATCTATTTGCTATGGAAATTTCTTTAACCTTGAAAATGATTATGGAGGACTATGACTTTTGACGAAAATAAAATTGCTCTGAAAAACATGAGAACAGTTTTTCCATAGTAATCAATTAGATTGACCATTGATCAGCTCCAAGTCCTTATTGGAACTCTCTGTAGCGGCCATTCTCTCTCTATATATATAATAATGAAATCACCCTTTTAGTGTTACGAAGTTCTGTTTACTCGATCTTCTTCTCTCTTAAATCTCAGTTATCAATGGGCATTTGTCAAAGATATAACTTTTGATAATTTAACTAACCAAGAGGAAATGACAAATGTCTCCACAGTGAATAACAATCGAAGAATATCGTTTCTTCCGTTCCTTTCCGATGTTCTAACACAAATTGAAGTAAGTTTTACTAAAATCGCTACATTATCATTTGTAATTGAAAGTGTTGTGGTAAGCGTCAGTTATTTGAAACACAAGTACAATTTATAAGCAAAGGTGGATGGTGGCTATCAGGGAATCCAGAACGCATGTTTCGTTATATTTGGGACTTATCATCTGGATATGGATAACGCGATAGCGTTTGAAGCGAACAGTACTGGGTTCGAGTCCCGGAGTGAACATCAACTCTGAGATGCGGGAACATCCACCTGACAAGTCCCAAATAGGTTGAACCCCGCGTCCTGGATTCCTTGCTAACCACTATCCATCTTTGCTCATAATGCTTGTGAATTAAGGCAATACGCACAGTATGTGCATATGCCAATAAGAGACTGATCAATTGCAGTGCTAAACAATAATAGGAAGATTCAAATAAACAATACCAAGTACAAGTATAATTTGTTTGTAAATAAATCTGTTCTTATTTTTTTAAAACCCTGATATACAAGTTTTCGTAGGTTCGCTCGTTGATAGTATCATCAGTACACACTAAGAAGGAGTCTTTATGCAACACGAAACATCTATTCACTGAACTCTCATTTTAAGTGATTATCCAAATAAAGTCAGTTCATAACAAAAATAAGTGTTCCCAAACCTCATTTCCTAATGGTAATAGTATTGTTAGAGTGGACGAATCTATAGGAGTATAATTTTACTCAAAAGTCCAGAGTAATTACATACTATCCCAATGATAAGTGACAAATACAAGAGGAGTAGATATACTATTGTAATTCAGCGAATTAATCATCTAACCAAGGTTACCATCATGTATGATTTATGCACAGAACTATTTGGTTTCAAAAGTAAAGCTTCCTATGCATTCTAGTCACCTACTGTCACATAATTGATTGGGTCAAGCGTTAGGAAACAATCTATATATGACTGGATCTCACTCTCATGTCATAATGAATATTTAATTGTATATCTCAATGTAAGTAAGAATGAAAGAGTGTATCCGTCTGTACTAATAATCATGATTTTAAAACTTATCAGCAATATCTTGTTTCGATTGTGTAATAAGAAGATGATGATGACCAGGACCAAAACTATGTGATGATATATATTAGTGGAATACATTTTGAACAATCTGATTACACATTATATACTTGTTAAGATCATTTATGTATAAAAATAAAAGGTCAACTTGACTAGAAATGAAACAAAGATAATAAAGAAATAATGCGAAAACAGTTTGAAACCTAATCACTTCTGGATAATATTATTAAAATAGGTTTATAGTGAGAACAAACTGTTTTGAAGTACGCAGAGAGGGTCTGAATTTTCTTATGACTAAGGTTTCAATAAACCTTAGTATACGCCCTTTTTTTCACTTTTGTACAACACCACAAAAGCCAAGTTAAGTTCGCTACTTGAAACTTCACCGTCGCAAATCAGAAGACAGAAAAAAAGCTGGAGAAGTGTTTATTTGATAAGAATCCAAATGTACAGAAAATCACGGGTATTTATAGATATTAACATTTGTGAAATCAACATTATAATTTGGCCAATCCGTAAAGAGACATATTATGGTACTGTCCAATAGTAGCATGTTACATTGATATTCTAGAAAGCTCTCTCATGTTTTAACTGGATAGAAACTCTTCGGCTCCTTTAGGGCCTCTGGAGGCTCCATTGTAGTTCTCGGAAGCCGACTCAACAAGAAATATATCACATAATTCTAATCATTTTCGTCTTCTTATTACACTATCGGAATTTATCAAATGGATTGATTGTTTTAAATATTTGGGTTTCTTTTAGGTTTTTATATTTTCGATGTTCATTTGCATTTTTGTACCTTTTCTTGTGTGTGAAACATTTTATATACCATAGAAATTACAAGAAGTTGACATATCAAATGGTATTGATATAACATCTATGGAAAATTCATCTACTTTATATCAAAGTTGTTTCAGTATTTTGGCTTTAGATAAACTTGTCAACATTTATACACTGAAACCATTCTTTGAAAGGTAAACTCAATTTGACATCATTTTAGTTTGCTTTTTATTAGGTAAATGTAAAAAAAGGATGTACAAATGAATATTATTTACTTTAAATAAGATAGTTTTCGAGTCTTACTCTAATATATTACTTACTTACTTACTTACTTATGCCTATTACCTGTCATGAAGGAGCATAGGCTGCTGACAAGCATTCTCTATCCATCCCTGTCCTGGACAAATCTTTCCAGATGTTATTCATCCTTTTCATGTCTGCTTATAATTCTCGATGTAGTGTGTTCTTCGATTTTCCTCTTTTCCATTTCCCCTCAGGATTCCAAGTTAGCGCTTGTTTCATGATGCAGTTTGATGATTTCCTCAATGTATGTCCTATCCACATCCATCGTCTTTTTCTAATTTCCTCTTCAAATGGAAGTTGGTTTGTTCTTTCCCATAATAGGATGTTGCTGGTGATAATGCGGCCAATAAACATAAATACTTGTACTTTTTTATTATGGTTGTAGTTGTTCTCCAAGATTCAGCTCCGTACAGTAGGACTGTCCTGACTTTCGTATTGAAGATTGTGACTTTGATATTGGTTAACAGTTGTGTTGAGTTTCAAATGTTCTTCGACCCTAGGAATTCTGTCTTTGCTTTTCCGGTCCTGGCCTTTACGTCTTCATCGATGGTGCTTTCCAGGTGCATGAAGGATTCCATATTTTCCAGAGTCTCTCCATTAAATCTGATTGAGGAGGTCTTCTCTGTGTTGTACTTGAGGATCTTGCTTTTTTCTTTGTGTATGTTGAGGCCTGCTGATACAGAGGCTGCTGCTACACTAGTCGTCACCTGCATTTGTCCGTGTGTTTGGTATAGAAGGGCGAGGTCATTTGCGTAGTCTAGTTGTACAACAATCTCCACAACCCTATTCTAAAAAAGAATTCTATCGAAGAAATCAGAAAACTGAGAGGTTGAATTTAGAAAGCTAGTTCTTAACACTTGTTGATAACGTGTTTTAACATTGAATAAAACAGCGTATATACATCTTTATGTTCCTTGTGAAGTTTATTTTGATCTTCGTCGAACTCATCTCTGACACCAAGTAGACACCATAAAAAAAGGCAAGTTCATATAACTTAATCTTTGTATTGAAAAAAAACTTTGTATGGGCTTATACTTTCCATGACTAAAGAAAACCTAATACACAATCTAGTTCTGAGAGATAGTTCTTGAAGGATATGGCGAGAAGCCGTGACCAGTGCACTTCAACCTTGTCTGTTATGTTTTATTTCACTGGATTGTACTCCTTGAATAACATCTTCAAACCCTAGTCTTTCCGATTACTGCTTATACTCTTACTACATCTACAACTACGGGATTTGAATCGACAACTGCATCTCTGTGCTAATGTTGTATGGCAACTCGAACTGATGTACGTACGTTTGAAGTTCTACGTTGTTACTGACTGACTGTCTGTTATGAGGCACTTACACACTGAAGACAATGAAAGTTGGTCGCGCAATGTCGTGGATTGGTTAGATTTAGGAATTGACTCTGTCAGACACCGGCTTAGTGGTCTAGGGGTTAAGCATTCGCGCGCGAGTCTGAAGTTCTTAGATTTGAGTCCCGTGTATGGTATCGTGGATGCGCACTGCTGAGCAGTCCCACACGTGGAAGAAATGGCCGACTAGTGCTCCCAGGTTTCCAACCGCGGCCTAAGATTGACCGGTGCATGATTTCAATTCTTTGTGTTTAGAAGAGTTACTAATGACGATAATGATAATAAAGTAACTGCATTATGTGTTAGTTTGTATTTGATATTTTAATAATTTATAACATAGATTTCACTATTCTATGTTTATCTTTTAGTTTACATAACAGTTCAAATGTTGATTCATTACGAAATTCATTCAATGATATCCCAGTACTTGATGGCTTCCTTCTTGAACTAGCTATAGAAGCATCTTTAGCTCAAGATTTTCCTGAAACGATTGCATCTAGATAATAATAATAATAATATCCATTTACATCTTGATTATTATGATTATCATACTTATTACACAGATTTACACTACCTCTTATCCAATCAATGAAAATTTAAGAAACAACTTTGAATATTTCTGTTACTTGGTCTATTGAAATCACATAATCGAATTTGTGCACCTATTGTCTTTCTAACCTTCTCACTTTCTTTATGGTTTCTTTCTTCGTTTTGTACACAAACATCTTAAAATTTAGGAAATTTTATTATACATTATGTTGTTGTTTTTGTTTGTTTGTTTGTTTGTCCTATTGATTCATCTAAACACATTACGTAATCTAAACCCATCATTAAGGCTGTGGCATTCTCTATTTCTCATCTTAGTTGTCGATTTTCTTTTCTCCATCCTACTACTATTACTACTACTAATACTACTACTGCTACTACAACCACTCATACTACTACTTTATAATGAATTACCCATATATATGCTTGTAAGATTGTTTCTTCCTCTTTATATCATCACTTACTACATGATGAACATTTGTTCTACTATAAATACAATTGCAATTGCTATTATATTGTAACATCAACTGGTTTGCTTAATGTAACAGAAAGACACCAATTTCCAAAGAATACGAAAGATGCAAAGATATCATCATTCCTAAATCATCAAACAAATGTGATACATAAAGGATCCTATTTCTTTCCATTCAACATTATTGTTTCATTTCAATGTTTATGTATTCGTTTCTATGTGAATATATTATTAAAGTATATGATGAGTATGTTTTATTGTAAAGGGATTCTATTTCTTCTGAAGGCAATGCTTTATTCAATACATCATTGATCGATAAGTAAAAAATCACATATGAGCATGTTGTTATCCCGATAATAAAATTAATGCATTACATTACAAAATAAGAAAAAACGAAATCAATCAAATGAGATCTAAAACAAACAAAGTCAAACAAAAAAACAACATTCCAACATTTAGGAAAAACATAACTAAATTCATACATTTGAAAATATAAATCGACAAAACTATATCACCGATAAATCCAACAAAACATAATGCTTTGAATCATAAAAGCGTAGGCAGATGAAGGTGACAGAGAAACTGAAGGAAAAGATGCAGATCAATATCGAAGTGACATGTACTAGTTTCCATATATCTATTGTTATGACGCGAGATCAATTGACAGAGCACGCTCATCCTATTAGGTGTCTTTAAACTACCACTGACCACGTGAAACACTTGAAGATGCATTCCTCCGACCACATCACACCACTCACACTCGACCAGTGCACACAGCTACTTCTCAGTCGGCACGTTTGTCGAGCCGTTTCGTCTGACCGGAATAGTGGTTGTGGTGTCTGTGAGACGATCGAATGGCACACCACCTAGACACAGTGTATCGAGTCAGATGTTGATGCTGTTCTGGATAGCTTGTTGTATTGGATGACATAGATGGAGGCTTCAGCGATGTCAATGTGTCTGTGTGAGTGTGTTCGTGGACGTGTGAGTTGGATAGAGGGTATGTGAGAGAGTGAGTGAGTGAGTGAGTGAGTGTGTTGGTGATTGAGTGAGTGAGTGAGTGAGTGAGTGAGTGAGTGAATCAGGAAGACAGGAATTCTGTTGGTCGATTGAGATGTTTGTCTGACTGTCGGTCTGCTCCACGCACATGCACGTGGATGTGAGGAAGAGTGTTTGGTTCAGTTTTGTTGTGCGTGTAGGTGTAGGTGACGGCGAATGTGAAGGACAAGATGAAGATGAAGATGAATATGGAAATGGCGTGTTGTAGTGTTGATGATGTAGTAGTAGTTGTGGATCCTGGA